GCAACCTGAATGACACAAGGATTAGATCCCACAGCAGATAACTACAATATCTGTAACGTCAGCATTATTCTGAACAGAACAAGAGCTGCGTCTCTGAATCACACATATGATACACATGTGAAGAGAGAAGGAGACGCTGTGAATGATCGATAAATAACTTTGGTTATTATGTCATGGTTGCATGTTTTTCATTAGTGCACTTTACTCATTTGCCGCATTAAAAGGATAGAATGACCACACAGCACAGCTGTACAAATACATGTGCAAACATTTTCAGTGCAGTCTGGAGTGTGGGAAAGAGAGAATAAGAAAGTGGAAGGACAGGCAAGAGTGTTTAATGTGCAAGCAGTATGAACAGAGCGCCGCCTAGTGAGATGTCAGAGACAGCATGTCTCCAGTTAATGCGGTACAACATGTGGGTTGTTTCCTGAACTCCAGCAGATGGAACCGTAGTACCTTCATGCTGTGTGACCTTTGTTGAGACTATTCAGGGGTTTTCCAGTTTCCCCATGAAACTGGTAGAAAAGTGAGATGACAGTAAATCCACTGCAAATAACGTACTTATCTTTTCTTATTTGAGAAACATTACAAAGTATCTACAATTAATTCTAATTTTGCTTGTCATGTTATTTCTGAGGCTGCTCAGAATGATAAATCAGATTAATTGATCTGAAACACATGCATTTGCAACATAAACACACACAACTGTGTGTATATCGTTGTTGTATCTTGTTTCTAGTATAATAATCTTGGAGTGCCTGGCTGGTAATCCAGCCTTGAATATGTATAATATATCCATTGTAACCAGTTCAACTAAAGTCAGATTTTTACTCCCATTTTGTTTTTAATAATCTTTAATAGGCTTGAAATGCCTGAAATTATTAAGTAATGCATAAGAGTACAAGAAAATATCAGAGAAGATGGACAGATTTCTTTTTCCCTGCTTTCCCATCCTGTTACTATTCTCAGGACCCCTCAGATTTAATTTGCAACCACTTGTGGGGTCCCAGAGTCCCAGGTTGGGAAGCACTAGTTAGCAAACTGCTTATAAAAGTCGTTTTTTAGTCACAGCTGAGAGACAATTCATGATGCATGTTTGTGCATGTGTCTGTCTGCTTGTGTCTGTTTACATGGGGCAGAGTCAGTGTGGTCTTGACATCTCCAACCACAGTATCATACAGGAAGCTGAGTCACAGATAGAGCAATTCACTTCCTGTTTATTTTGGCCCTCAGTCATGACAGGTCAGGAAAGCAGAACAGTCTTTTCACACAATGTTGGAACATATACTGTATGTCGGGGGAGTGTATGGACCTCTGGGCCGCATTAAAACACTGAGTTGAGTTTAGTTCGCAGGTTTTTATACAATTAATATCTGCTGTGGGATTTTTTTTAATGATACACAAGTTGTAAACATCTTTACTTCATGCTGTTTTATGAACATTATTACATAAACAATATGAGTGTTTTTGCTTTGACGATGCACATCTGTGAACATGTGCATAGTCAAGTGTGGTCAGTATCTAATTGGTGATAAACTTCTTGTGGAAGTTAAATTTAAAGATGGAAACGATTACAAAAGTGTGTGTTTTCCTGTAACTCTAATGTTTTGATAAAGAGACGTGATATGAAAACCAGCCATTTAATCTCGACTTCACTGTCCAGTCTTCTTTTCAACACGATATTCTTAAAGTTTATGTGTGTCATGAACATACTCCCACACGGAGCACCTTCTTGGAGTGCTGCAGGATGGCTTACAGCGCAGGGCATGTCAGCGAATCTCATTAGTGGCTGTGGAAGAGTTTAGTGGGGACTTACACTACTACTCAGCAAAGGTCTCTTACTGAGGTCAGGGTTAAAACTGATTGGAAATACTGTTGCGGTTCCTCTTTGCATGCATAGTGTTATTCGCTACACCAGCTAATGTGTGCTCTACATCTAGACTACTATATGTGTGTCAAAGGGAAAAGGACAGAATGTGAATTTCATACATAGTAGCAGAAACAGGAAGGTCTGTAACTGTTTGCATGATGAATCGTTACTTGCGCTAAAGTACAAGATAGCAGCTACTGTGGGACAATCAGCAACAACCAGTATGAGTAGGCTGCAAATATTTCTGCAACCCCTATGGACTATTTTCTGCCAACCCTGATATAGAAACTGCATTACACAAATAAGATAAGAATTGTTGGTTCCCGACTTAAAATACAACTAAAAACAATGAGTTCAAAGATTAGAATTCTTTGACAGTAAAATACTGTGACACAATAATATTTAATTATACAGACATGCAAGAGAAATGATGGCAAAGTAGGACGTTTAATATTTATTTTTGTTTTAATTAAAAGGAGGTAGATATGGGTATGAAGATTTTATGCAGTGTTTACAATGGAAGACACGAGGTAAATCTTGGTTGCAGTCCTCCAATGAACCCGAGCATGGGTCAGTCTTTTCTTAAGGTGCAGCAGTTACAATCGTCTGTGCTACCAATAGGGTGAAGCCAACCCAGTGACCTACGTCCCTTCTTCCAGCTGACGCTATTGATGCTGTTGTTGCAATAGCTACCCTCTCTGGGCCTCATGCAAAAACATTTTCATATTCTTATCTTAAATTTCTGCGAGCCACGTCAGATTCAGCAAACACTCCCAACTTCAGATAAGTGTGTAAAAGACCAGATTTTAGTCCTGCTTTTGGAGAATAACAGCAGACCAATTGCACGACTCCAACGACAGGTCTGGACCACTTGTAAATTGTGTTCATAAATCACTCTTACAAGCCACTTTTGTAAAAAGTAAAATTAAAAAAATTAAAAATCTCACTGTTCATGCAATCTGGCTCAACGTTAACAGCAACCGCTGATGTACAAAAATGCACTAAAACGCCACAATCGACATTCCTCTGGTGTCTTGTGGACTGTAAAACCACAAATTAGAGAGAAGTACTTATTGATGACCCAAGTAAAGGAGTACATCTTCGGTCAACATGGATTCACAGACAGATTTTCTTCTGCTAATGGAAATCCAGACGCATAAATGGAAATAGTAGAAGGTGTTGAGTGACTGAGGGGATGGACGAAGGAGAGTGGAGGCACGTTCGGCTAACGGGCTCACTGTAATCTCTTAATGAACTTCTACGTGTGGGAATGGTGGAAAGGGGAACGAGCTAAAAAGAGGAAGAGGACGAACTCCGACAGAGGGAGGAGTTAAGAGATTGAAAGCAGAAGATGGGTGCACAGGGTGAAGGAGATACTTTAGACACTGTCTGACTTTTTGAATGAAGCTCTTGGTTTCATTTGCGACCATGTTTCTGTGTATAAAAGGGGGATGTATGCACGTTTAGCTCATTCATACACATTTGTTTCCCATACAGTATGTGGCAATCGTTTTGGGAGTTCAATGAGGGGTCTGTCTGAAATCCCCTCTCCAATCCTCTGATGTCGTCAGACATTGCAAACCAGGCCAACGTCATCCACTTGACAAGTCAGAGGTCAGGTAAGTAGCAGCTTCATGGTAAGCATCCCCAGCAGTAAGCCTGCCATTGAGCCTGCAGTTAATGAGGAAAGTGCAGAGTGCGACTGACCTGCTGTCTTGAGTCAAACTACAGAGCTACACTGTCAGGAAGTGTTAACATAAAATTGTTTCAATAACTTTTTAGGTTTTAATTTTTTCTTGATGGGGCATTTGTTTATTACACATTTCGAGTTGTTATAAGTTGCTGCTCTGTTCACAGTTTACCCAATGAGATTCAGAAAATAAGCAACACCAAGAAGTGAAACCAGCTCCCACACACCACTGAATAAACAAACGTCACCGAAACTTAAAATAGTTCCAGTAAACTTGATCTAAATGCCATATTGTTAAATGATATATGGCTCAAATGCTTTACAGATGACGTGCTACCAGATAACGAGTATACAGAGAGTCTATTCAAAAACTACTGTATGCAGTATGCTTTTTCCCCCATGTTTGACGATCAGAGCATGCACCGAGCATGCAGTAACAATACCTCGAAGTGGCATATGCATTGCAGTATCTGCAGAGGTGTGAGTGTGCACACATACATGCGCATGCATGCATACGTGTGTCTCTGTGAATGTGTGGCCCTGTACATACAGGTTAATCTGCGGTAAGCTGGTTTATGGATCTCGTCTGCAGTGACGCAGATATCCGCGCCAAGCTCTGCACTGATAGATTCTTCATGACAACTAACCTGCAGACTATATGGCCTATACCCTACATGCTGACAGATGGCTTACATCCTACATGGCATAGGTGCCATCAGAGACATGCTTCAAATACAGCTATTTTGTGTTAATTGTATTGATATGACATTACATACACATACAGGTAATGCACTTCTGTACGTTTGTAAATTATCCAATGATTGGTTCACACAAAAACCACGCAGGTCGGTGAAAAACCCTCGAGGGCGTTGTGCATTCCTGTTCTCACCTGTGAAACATGAACTGTAACATGACGGTGAAATTATTTATTATTTATTATTTGTGATGCTGTTATCTAGAGTGAATTACAAATGATAGACTGTTCAGCATTCTTTGTGATTAGCCTGACCATGATTGTACCAGGTAAAAGTTCATCACACTCTTCATCAAATATTGGGCGTCTACTTGTTAAAATAAGCTGCACCGATTTCTGAGCGAGTTCATCATCACTGCAATGATCAAACTGAATGATAAGCAACAAAAAAGTGACCAGCACCCTTATTAATAATGGAAAGGATAGGACAAGTGTGGTGTGGCTTTTGGAGAGGAGAAGGAGTGCCGAAAAATCGATTCAAGGCGAGTTTTGGTGAGGGGTCAGCCTCCAATCTGTCTCCTTCTCCTCTCTCTTTACGCCTATTTTCCAGACACGCCTCTGTCTCCAGCCTTGCAGCCACACAAAGTAACTATGGGAAGCGAGTGCAGCTATTAGTGAGTGTGGGCTGTCAATCAGGCCGACCCGCCCAACGCCTCTCAGATGGGAAGCGCTCTGGTCACAACTTCTCCAGCAGCTGTGGAGTGGGACCTCTGTGGCATTACGCAGTACCAACGAGCAACAATCGGCCAAAATGTAAAGGAAAAGCAGCCTAACACCTCTTTCTGAAAGTAGGTGTGCAGTGGAAAAGTGTAGTAGTCTCAAAACGAGTGCGTAAAGTTGACGTTACGCAGCAGGGACGCGCAATCTGTGCGTAAAAGTGAGTCAAAGTGGATGAAACGTTTTCTCGGCTGCAATGGATGCGTCAGCGAGCCTTTGGGGCGTAATAAAGAGCTGAAACTGTGAGGAACAATTGTTTCGACCTTTACAGTCGGTGTCTGCCTTCCAAAGTTTTGCGACAGCGCAGCAGCGGAGCGGAGCGCGCAGCAGATGCTGAGCAGTGACTAAGCCTTACGGCTGGGAAGCTAATGAATTGAATTTGCCTGGACTACAGACTTTATGTAAGAAGTAGGACACGCACAACGCCGCCCAACTAGTTATTTCCGTCTTGCGTAGAGACGCTTCGTCGTCCAGCACATTGTTGTAATGACAGACGTCGACTCTGAACGTTCAATTCTTCACAAAGTTGCAGCTGGCTGATGCCACGACTCCAGCAGGAGTTAGTGGAAAGTTGTGTCGTTTACATCCTTCTGTCTACCTCTTCACAACATGGACGAGAGTGTTGAGTCTGCTGTGGCCGACAGCAGCTCGGACGGAGAGAGCATCAACCTCAGCGTGCTCAACTGGGAGCAAGTGCAGCGGCTGGACACCATCCTCACCGGATCCATCCCCATCCACGGCCGGTGGAGCTTCCCCACTCTGGAGGTGAAGCCACGAGATATCGTCAATGTGGTCCGGAGCCGCATGGAGGAGAAGCGGATACATGTCCGGGAGGTGCGACTGAACGGCTCCGCCGCCAGCTACGTCCTGCACGAGGATAGCGGTCTGGGATGGAAAGATCTGGACTTAATATTCTGCGCCGACTTGAAAGGAGAGATGGAGTTTCAGATAGTGAAAGATATCGTTCTGGACTCTCTTCTAGACTTCTTGCCAGAGGGAGTGAATAAGGAAAAGATCACACCAGTGACCTTAAAGGTAGTATATGGAGTTATAGATCATATGACTGTTTGTTAATCTTTCAAACCTGACAGGGAAGAAAGTGAAAATATTTTTTAATGCACTTAAAATTAAATGGACATAAGTCTTAACACGATTGAGTTCATGGGGTTGTATTTGTGTCTTTATTATGCATCAAGCAGAGTAGGTTCAAACTATCAACACTGCAATCAAAATGTTTTGTAGTAAGTAAAATCAATTTGTGATTAAAAATGGATTAATGCAAATCCAAAATGTTTGCTTGCTGTTGAGCTGAATCTCGTGGGCGGGACTTAGGCCAAATGTAAGACAAGTCTCTATTGGCCAGTTTCGATCACAGTGACAATCAAGCAATATTTGTTATTGCAGTTATAATGATGTTATAGAACCCTTCAGGGTGATGCAAGACCTCTCTGAGATCTCCATGTTAAGGGCTATTTCACAATAATGACCCGCTCGCTGTATCCTGCTTATTTCACGACTACTTACTAATTTCACGCAAATATATTTATTTGAAAATGAAGTCTGCGTCCATAGCAACTTCTGTTATTCATAGTTGAATGCTGTAATTGACCAATCATAATCGACTATTCAACAAAGGTCGAGACTGGCCAATAGAGACGTGTCTTACATTTTGTTGATTTGTCAGTGTAGGTCCCGCCACACGAGATTCAGCTCAACAAGGAAAACCTTTGGATTCACATTAATACAAATTTAATCATGAATTTATTTTACTTACAATTTTAAAAAAAATTGAATTGCAGTGTTGATGGTTTTGCTCCAAAACTTAATTGGTTTGATTGCGTGATAAAGACAGAGAATATGAGATCTGCCCTGAATATCTCCAACCAGCATAGAAATATAAGCTTTCAAATAGTAAAAAGGTTGGTTTCCAATTCAAAGAGGATTCTGTCTAATCCAATTGGTGTTGGATCCACATTAATAAGTCTTCTCTCAGTTACCTGGATACACAGGACTTGCCGGGCTACTAATGGTCCACCAACAGATGTGATCAACAAAACATCACGACTAACAGACCTAATCCAAGATTTGTATCTGGTGCAAATAGCATTAATGTCCAGTTGTTGGAGCCTCCTCAGCCTGGTTTAGAGTATTTTCTATCCAATTTTCTATCCTCTGTGTAAGACGCACAGTGCAATCATTCTTAAACATCACCAGCAGTGCATGTGTGGCTTCAGAAGAACTAAAAAAAAAAAAAAAAAGTGTTTGATGCACTGTTGCAAGAACTAACACCATATTACAGCTGTGAAAGAGAGGACAAGTTAGTTAACAGACAGAAAGAAGGCTGTAGGACTCATCTGACAGTCATCATTGTAGCCTACTCTATGCTCTGATTATGTTGCAGTGGCCCTTAAAAGTTATTGGAAACACATAGCCAAATGTTTTTATGATGGTTTATGTTTAACTAAATGCTTGTGTGTTTTCTGATTCATAAGATATGAAAGTTAAATCTATATCCACCTATATGAACCTAATAACTCAAACAGTGTCTTGACTTAAAACTTGCACAAACATGAAATGCATTAAACTTAGTCAATGATGATAATGTTTCACTTGTGTATGTTTTAGGAGGCTTACGTGCAAAAGATGGTGAAAGTGTGCAATGACTCAGACCGCTGGAGTCTCATCTCCCTCTCCAACAACCGCGGCAAGAACGTGGAGCTCAAGTTCGTGGACTCTCTCCGACGGCAGTTTGAGTTCAGCGTGGACTCCTTCCAGATCCGCCTGGACTCGCTTCTACTCTTCTACGAGTGCTCGGAGCACCCCATGGCTGCCACTTTCCACCCCACGATTCTCGGGGAGAGCGTCTACGGCGACTTCCCCACCGCCCTCGATCACCTGCGCAAGCGCCTCATCTGCACCAGGAGCCCCGAGGAGATCCGAGGCGGGGGTTTGCTGAAGTACTGCCACCTGCTGGTGCGGGGTTTCCGCGCAGCTTCCGACACTGAGATGAAACTGCTGCAGCGCTACATGTGCTCGCGCTTCTTCATTGACTTCCCCGATGTGAGCGAGCAGAGGCGGAAGCTGGAGTCCTACCTGCAGAACCACTTTGTGGACCTGGAGGACAGGAAGTATGACTATCTGGCCACGCTGTACGAGGTGGTGCAGGAGAGCACGGTGTGCCTGATGGGCCATGAAAGGCGTCAGACTCTCAGCCTCATCTCCTCGCTGGCGTTGCGGGTCCTGGCCGAGCAGAACGCCATCCCCAACGCCGCCAACGTCACCTGCTTCTACCAGCCAGCTCCTTATGTCTCGGATGGCAACTTCAGCAACTATTACATAGCGCAGGTTCAGCCCATCTACCCCTTTCCTCCATCCTTTCCCCAGTATTACATTCCTCCTCAGCACCATCCTATGTACGCCGCCTGGTTACCCTGTAACTAACCTCTGTGTGCATTCACGGACTTTTGTGGAACCGGTGGAACCTCCTTGAAAGGGATGATTGCTGATCGTTTTATCTCTTTCTTGAGATGGGAAATTGAGGGAAATGAGAGAAGGAAGAACACGAGGCAAAATTAGACAGATAAAAGAAGAGAATAAGGAATCAAGGGGAAATGAGGGCAATGAACCTGGATCAGGGCAGTGGGCCAGAGAAAGGCTTTCCCCCGGGGTAGGGTGCCACAGCAGGAGGAGCTGAGCACACAGCGAGAGATGCCAGTAAGGGAGGCTGACCCATCACTTTAGGGTTCTCTCATCGAAGATCGATTTGGTAGACCATCGGGGTATACGATGATATTTTTCTTGTCTGTTGTGAGTTATGGCTCAGAGGAACTCACATTTAAAATAATGAACATGTACGAGATCCACATCCTCTTTACATGAGAAACCATAACTAACTCACATACAGCCGCTGAGATTAGCGGAGGACACGCATGACATGCTGAAGATGTCGATTCATGGTCAATCACCGGCGAGCTTCTGACTTTGTGCACTGTGTTTGTATGACACTCCTTTTCACAGACAATGCAAAATGAGGAATTGGATACCGTTTACAAATCCAAAGATCTACTTTGATACTTAACTTTATCTGAATTCTGAGACAAAAAAAACAACAAAACAATGCATGCTTTATTTCTGTACAGGAATAATTTTCTTTAAGTGCCTAGATGAAGCCTAAAGGGAAGAGATATTTTTGTGATTCTTTATCTGTTGGGTCGTCCAATTGATGTTCGAGGTGATAATGAATGTGCAGTAGAACAGAGAGTCGACCCATGCCGAGTAAGGTCTCCGACACAGAGGCAGGTTTTAGACCAACTGATTTTTTTGACCATGTTTCGCTAAAGACTCTGCTCTTATCTGCAGTCCCGCTCGACGAACACACATCCTGATTATCAAAGAGGAAGTAGCAACATAATTTCATCATCAGTAAAGAGAGGGGGGGGGAGGTGGAGGTTGGATTAAAAATGCTTACGAGAGAAAAATAGATGGGGATTTTGAGAGAAATGTACAGAGAAAGAATTCGGTTTGGCAGCAACAGAGCAAACAAGAGAGAATAAACTGCTCTTATCTGCAGTTGTATTGGATTGCCAAATAAGGTGGTCAAGAGCTCAGCTTAAAACGAAAAGCTATTCATCACAGATAATGTTATCATCTGTGGGCGATGAAGAAATGTATTTGGATATGTGGAAGTTTTGCGCCTAATGTATTTCAAAATGCATCTTCGTCTCGTGTAGTCTATTTCAAAATGTTCTTGTGAAACTGTAATGCATATGAACAGATCTGACATGTACAACTCACACTTACTTAAAGGTGCCCTGTGAAGTTTTCATGTAAAAAAAACAAAAGTTATGTTTACACTTAGTCTCACCGAAACGCATTATGGGTTTCTTTTAATACTACAAAAGTGTTAAGTGCACTTTCTTCCTCTTGCAAAGCCGATTTTTGGAATGTTTTAAATGTAGCAGGCTTCTTCTTCACTGCTTTTTATGGCAGGATGTGTAATCCATGAAATATTGTAAAATTGATGGGAGGATATAAATCACCCTGCATGCATGGTTGCACATATTCATGTACGTCAAAATTAATCTACTTGTTTGTTTGTTTTTAAATCGCTCCATAGCGCTACTAGTGGTCAAAAACTTTACAGGGCAACTTTAAGTTTCAAAATAAATATTAAACATTAAAAAAGCACCAATGTGTTTTAAGTGCATTCTGAAACAGGGACAACCAGTTTTCTCAAATTACACTGGAAAGTTATTATTTTCTTCTTCTTATCAAATATATAAAATGATAATTTTTCAACATAATTTGTACGCAGTTTAAACATATTTGGACATGCTGTATGCACTGTCAAGATGTGTATCATTTACATGTGTAAGAGAGAAAGAGAAAAGGGATGTCTGCAAACATCTGCAGGCCAAAACAAACTGCATGTCTGTCGGTGGGCTGGATGTTGGAGTAGAAGCATACTACTGGCAGAGTCAGAGGCCCAGCAGAGGAGAATGTTTTCAGAAAATGTGCTGCATGAAGCCTAAAAGGTTTCAACAAAATGCAACAGTTTGGAATGTGTAGAAATTTGGGCTGCAGTAGCAGATTGTAGCTGTTGAAATGTCATCTCTTTTTAACATGGATAAGCACCAAGCAATGAGGAAATGAGTACAGATAAAGACCATCACATGAGCAATAAGAAAGATATCTTTTTTTTATGATGATTATGGGAAAAAAAAAAGTGCAAGACACTCAGCGCATTCTGTCAAACATGTCAGATCTCCTATTTTTCTATCAATCTCTATTTTTGTACAGTTTGCGTTTGGCTGATGTAGCAGGCAGATTCAAAGCTGTGTAGTTGAGTATTTTGTGGTGTGTGCGAATTTGTGATTTATTTTCTCTGCTGAAGAGCAGTGCAGGTGGACATGGCGGCTATGCTGAGATGCAGATTTAGCTTGTGTTCATTGTATGCGTGCTCTGAGCTGTTTCATATGGGGTTTTATGTTGCTCTAAAGAGATTGTTTCACTGTTCTACTTGTTTTTAACTGCTGTCCTGTTTGGGCATGAAAATAATGATCTGATAATTGTATCCAAGTTGACAAACTTGAGAATTAAAAAGCAAAAAAAAAGACCAGCAGACAAGAGTTGTTCAATTCAGTTTTTTGTTATTCTCACACTACTTGCCATAACAATCTGCATGACATTGTTTTAGACGTTTTACCTTATTGAACCTCAGTTCAGCCGAGGTATATAGCTCTGGCATTTAGCGGTTTTGTGCCCAGGCTTTGACAGACAGAGGAAAAGTCTTCATTAGGTCAACGTCCCGAGATGCTCGCACAATGCCAGCGGATGAATGCTGCTGCCAGCATGTGTCAGCTGAACCTGACGGGTTTCCCCTCCAAGAGACGTCACAACGAGCGTCAGCAGCCGTCGTTTCATCGTTTGCCAGACCTCATTAGCTGAGACTGTTTGCAACAGCAGGTAGATGCCATGTACATGCACAGACCTTACTACCAGCAGAGCCTTGGTCCCCAGTGACACATGGCAACTGATTAAGTAGATTGGCTCCAGGTCTGCATTAATCGAATCCCTCGGCCTCCAGATGTCACTTTCCCTACTGACATTGAGGGAAATATCTTCCTTAGTCTCTCTTTCATGTTTATTTGCTTTCTTCCGTCTGTCTCTATGTTACCCTGCCTTATTCTCCATTTCTTTTTAACTTTTACTTTAATTTCTTTGGCCAACACACTGCTTTTTATAGGCTGCTGTGTGCAAGGCAGATGTTAGTTTAGTGACACTGAGTACACAGCTTTATGCCTTCTTTATCCTCCGTTTTGTGTCCTCACTCATTTCCCTTCATCTCTGCCTGCCTGGGCCTCTTGATGAACTTAAGCAGAGAGAGATGAGCTATGGAGAGGAGAACGGAGCCAATGTTATCCCTTGTTAAGAGGGAGAGAGTGGACACTAAATATAGACCCCCGTCTCAGCCACTGTAAGGACATTAGCCCATCTACAGAAAGCTGATTAGCCTCCCTCCATAAGCATGTGCTCGGTGCTCTGGTGTGGTTACTGCGGAGAGATTTACCAGCTATTGTAGTGTAACACATACCTCCCCCATCTCCCGCCATCTTTTAGGTCACTCTCGCTGGTAAGGACAAAAAAAAATAAATCCACTTCCGTATCAAGGGCTTAAAGGGACTGTTTAGTGCAGGGGTCTTCAATTAAAATTCCAAAAGGTCCAGATTGAGAAAATGTCCTCGTGTAAAGGTCCGGAACATTACAATAATATCTAACTTGCGCTATTTAGTGCCATATACATACATATCTATATATATGTATATTCAAGAAGCCTAGTAGTAGTAACGTCTCTGTGTAGTCAACAACTGTCAAATCAAATAAAGAAAGTATACCAATTATATTTTAACAATTATTATTCTCAGTTTTCAAATTTAACTGGATGGATTATAAATAATACATAGAGGCTGGATAAAGAATAACTAACATAACAGTAAGCTTTTTAAAAATGTGCATCTTTAAAATAAAGTAATTCATTTTAGAAAAATTAATTTCACTGAATTGTCCTGCAGCTTTAAATTCAGTTCATTCAGGTGTGAAGTGATGTCAATCAAAAAAGCCACGATATTATATTTTTCTCATCTTCTAACAAGAGAAATCAGTGAGCATGGACTTTATGTGTGGTTATTAAACCACTTGTTTCAGCTCTATTCTCTCTGTTAACATCATTGTTGGACAGTGAATTCATGCGTTAGGATTCTGATCATTTTGGGCTCTTAGGTTTATTTTCTGTGTCTTCATTTAGATGTGAGAGGGTACGTTTGCTCAAAAGAGTTGTGCTTTGTCTGGTAGTGGCGCTTCATTTGCCGCTTTTAATAATCGTCACGGTCTCTAAACATATGAGACACACTGGTTATAAACTGTCCGTGTGAATAATTAACCTATAAGAGTCTGTTCATTCTTGGTTAAAGACTCTGGTCTCTTTGACCACTTTTCTCTTTTTGGAGAACGTCATGTGAAATAACTTCTCTGACTCACGTATTATTCTCCAGCTCTTCCTTCTCTTTCCTCGTCTCTCCCCCGGTGTGTGTACATATCACTCGATTCAGGAAACGTGTCAGAATACCCATATTTGTTTGGCTGAGCTGCGTCACGTGATGTGATTTACAACGCATTGGTCGGCCTGTTTCCTGCACCGCTGAACAAGTGCCGTAAAGGCTGAACAAGTGCCGTAAAGGCTGAACAAGTGCCGTAAAGGCTGAACAAGTGTCGTAAAGGCTGAAAAAGCTGCGCCGGTTAAAATAGAAGCGCTATGTCAAAATAAAATCGATTTTAGGTCCTGGGTCCGGATACAACGGCGTCTGGGTCCGGATCCGGACCGCGGTCCGCCAATTGGTTTAGTGTGTTGCACAACAAGGAAAACAGCTAACCTATTAACACAGGTAGCTTAGGAAGTGTGTTACTATGGTGCTTTTAAGTAGCGTGTTGACAGGTGAGCAAAGGAAGATTACAGTTTTCGGAGAAGGTTAAAGCTCATGTCCAGCTCATGAAAAATCTAAACAATGTCCTGGTTTCTGACTCAGAAAGTGCATTGTTGTCCTGAGAGCAGCATTTTGTTTGGAATAAATCCAGTGACAAAGAAATGTAAAAGTAAAATTACATACATTCGTTTTCTTGCTGAGAGTTAGATGAGAAGATTGACACACTATATGATATTACAGGCGAAAGCCGTTTAGCTTAGCAAAAAACTGGAAACAGAGAGCATAGATTTCTCCGGATCTAACAAAATCCACCTAGCAGCACCTCTAAAGAGCACTAATTAACACATTGCATCTTGTTTGTACTGTATATCTCACTGTTTGTGGAGCTTTAGATGTGCTTGTAGGGATATTTGGTTACTTTTGGCTAGCCTGGACAGAGCCAGGCTAGCTGTTTTCCCCTATTTTGTGTCTTTATGCTAAGCTAACCACCTGTTGGCTCTAGCTTTCATATTAACCGTACAAACATCAAAGTGGATCAATCGGACTCTTAAAAAAGCAAAAGCGTATTTCCCAAAATGTCGAACAATTGTTCTAAGAAGTTGTAACTCACAGTGAGGGCATTTATTGACTCAGTATTTTGGGACTGCACATGTGAGGCAGAAAACGGTGGGAAACCCACATCTGTTTAAAAACTCAAAGCTATGGACCGCCTTCAAAGATCAATCTTGTGTTTATAAAAATACCACGGCTACGACTTTAAGAGGAGCCATCAAAGAAATATGACGACAAAGGATTCCTTTGTGATTTATCTGTTCAAATAAGCGCTGACAGATTTATTTAGTGCAGATTCCGTTATTTCTTACAGTCCAGGATGTCATATCTATCACAACTCTGATTTGTTTTAGCTTTTCAGGCATTTCAGACAGATTCAGAGTGGAGCAACAGATGGACACCATGATAGCTAACCGCCTTGTGCCAATGGATCTGTTGAGGCCGACTATTAGGAACGATGACAGTTATAATTAAAGGTAAAATGTATGTCCTCAGTGGATTTGGTTGTCTAAATGATAATCCCGTTTGTGAGGACCACCATGGAGAAGTCTATCCAACATAAGACAGATGGGGTCTGAGATCTAAAAGAGATGTGGTTTGAAAAACAAGAGAGACATTTTTTTAAGTAGAAAGTTTTTTGTGTAAGGTACTTTTGTACTTTTTAAAATTACTTAAATGGCCATCTAGTGTTTTAATGAACAAAACCTATTTATTCTCCCAGGCTTGTGTGTGGGTATTTTCACAGGCAAAAGGTTGGATGGAGTCACATCACTGTTGCAATCTTTAAATGCGTTGAGCCTCACAACAACAGGAAATTAATAGCACCAAAAAGGTCAGTTAGCAGCTTGTAAAACACTGGAATTAAGGGTGCCGTGCTGACAACAGGTTTTAATTGGCGTACATGAAGACAACTTTATTTGACACTTATTTAGAAGCAGAGGGTAGCATAGCTGCAGCACAGACACAACAGATTAACAGCGTGTTTTATTGGGGATGCACAATCAAAATAACATATTACGCATAATACCTGTGTTTTTGGACCACTGAGTGACAAAGGAATCGATAGCATCTGAAGAAGTGTATCTATGCAAACACACACACACACACACACACACACACACACACACACACACACACAGGAGATGAACCAGTTGGAGCAGCAGCAGGACCAAGAGTCCATCCAGCTCAGTCCAGCCGGGGTCAGAGGCCACCGAGTAAATCAAACAAAAGCAAGACCAGACTGTGAGAAACAACGATGTGTGTCTGTCTGTGCGTGAGAGAGAGAGCAAAAGAGATAGAGCGAGATGGAGACACACAGAGATGTGTGTGGGCATGCGTGTCTGTATTTGTGTACTTGTGCCGTTCGTGTATTTGTGATACAGGAAGGCTTGTCTAGTTTTCAGTGTGAGACATGTGTGGGTGAAGTTGCTTTTAGAGATTATGAATCGCAGCCATAAGCAAAACTCGATCCTCTCAATTATTAGGCAACACAATGATAATAATTCACAGCAGCCAATAACAGAGTGAGTTTTCGGTGACATCAGATGCCAAACAACTGGTTGGCTGGACCAATAAATGAGATTCATCCCTAATCTTAAGTGTTTATGCCTGGTAGTGTAAATAGTTTGGCCATCTGGACCGGGGCCGGTGCTGGAGATTGTCTTGTTGCGGAGCAGAAACCAGCTGGTGACAGAGAGACGCTTTGGTAATTTGACACACAGCAGTGAAAATGACTTGTTTTCTCAAAAGGAACAGGAATCATTAAGTAATAAATCCATAAATAGATCTGCAACGTCGCTCACGTGTCAGCATGTTTGCATGCATGTGGCAGCGAAAAACAATTCAGTTTAATTCTGTTAAATGTAATTAAGTTCAATTTGGCACCACTTTTTAATAAGGCACCCTTTTAACAAGAACATGAGTCGGCAGCCTTAAAAACAATAGCAATTTCGTCTTTGATCCGATTATGCAATAAGTCGTCTGTGCAACATTGATTATGTTTATTGCTGCATGCAGCTATATTTTTGTTTGTTTTGTGTTTTCCCATCACCTATTTCATAATTGACGAGTTGCTAATTCCCTGTTTACCTCTCCTGTGTGGACGGGAGTGAGGGAGGGGGCGCATAGGCACAATTGTTTGAGTTATGTTGAAAAATTAAAAAAAAAAAAAAGTCTACAGCTATTCTACCGCTCTGGGAGGCTGCACTTAGGTACAACAGGGCTTTGAGCTAAATGCTAACAAACTGCATGCTGCTAGCTTGGCTGAAGGGGTTTGTAATTTGTACATAATGAAACCTTAACCAATGAGTTATCAGTTGAAGGTCATTAATGAGAAGAGATTTGGGGTTGTGAAAAATCCCTTTGGCTGCTATTAACAGTCTATTTGTTAATAATGCAGCTATGAATGTTGGTTCTCCATTTATGACTGGATTTCTCACTCTCTGTTGAGCTATATAAACCATTAGTAAATGATGTATTAACCATTAATAAAGCAATGTGTTACAAATAATACACTAAGAGGTAAATTGATATTATGAAGCAGTTACAAAGGTTAATAAACGGTTCTTCATTCAATAATTCATCAAATCTACAGGTGTAAAGAGAAGCTAGCTACAAAGTCAAAGCATTTGTCATGCTTCTGAAAGACCAATGCCAGCTACACAGTCGTTCTTGTTAGTTAGCTAATATAAATCACATTAATAAATGACTAATCAAATATTAATTAAGCCTTTAAGTAAAACCTTATTAGAAAGTGGTAC